TAAAACTTTGTTACGTGCAATGGCCTTTAAGAAGAATACAGTAAGCAAAAGGGTAAACGAGTAAAAATGTAATTACTAAAGCCTTGTGTACACGATACTAGAAATCGGTCCGAGTTTCGGTTTAAAGCCCGGTGTCCACGATGCAAGAACTGTGTCCAAGTTTCGATTTAAGCCAATCAACTTGCAGCTCTTACAGAAAAGTAGCAGTTTCATTGGCTTAAACCGAAACTTGGACACAGTTCTTGCATCGTGGACACCGGGCTTAAGGGCGAATTTCACCAATCACGGTTAGTTTAATGGTGACGTTTCATTTGCAATAAAATGCTGCAGCAGCGAGCAACAGTTTAGTAATTTCCTAGAAATTACCTAGTAATTCTAGAAAATTACTAAACTGTTGCTAGCTGCTGCAGCATTTTACTGCAAATGAAAATTCGCCTATGGATCGACCCAGCCTTTATAAACCTAGTGACTTTATCCGCTAGGGGATCGCTAGGGGTGCCAACCTACAGAAGAATCGGATAGAGGGAGCAACGTAGCTGCGAAGGACGACTTGGCGATGACGGCACAATAGTCGTTGGGAGGGGCAAAGCAGTAGAGCTGAAAGGGGGGGTGGCGGAACGACCGGCGTTTCGGAGTTTGGAGCGTGTATCGGTAGTCGCGAGACGAGGCAGTTGGTGACGGGTTGCGGTCGTCTAGTGTGGCGTAGTGAAACGGTTTTCGGTCGCCTTCTTCTCCCCTCCTTGTGTTCAAAAATGAGCTGGCAGGATTACGTTGATAAGCAGCTGCTCGCGTCTAGGTGTGTTACCAAAGCGGCGATCGCCGGACACGATGGCAATGTATGGGCGAAATCTGAGGGATTTGAAGTGAGTAGCAGAACTTTGAAAGAATATACCAAGAAACGGAGAGAGAGAGAGAGAGAGATAGAGAGAAAGAGAGAGAGAGAGAGAGGGAGAGAGAGAAAGCGAGAGAGAGTGTGTGTGAGTGAGTGAGTGAGAGAGTGAGTGTGCGGGAGCGAGAGGGTGGGAAGGAGGAAAAGAGCGAACGAGTGGGAGATGGTCGAGAAGCGAGAAACGAGGGAGAGACACGGGACAAATAGATTTGGTAGCACGCCCCCCTCGATAAAAGGGAAAGTACGCGGAGTAAAAGAGCCCTCCGGTTACTCCGGTAAGGCGCATATGAAACGCGCTTTGTCGGCGTGCGAGGGAGACAAGCCTCGCAAGCCTGTGAGAGAAAGAGTGCAAATGAGCGAGGAGAGAGAGAGAGAGAGAGAGAGAGAGGACAGATGCTCTCTGGCGAAGATCGTCCGTGCGGTTCTCGGTTCGAGCTCGTTCGGCTCGAGCACGAGATGAACCGGTTCGAACAAGTGAGCCGAACCGAACCGCGCCGTGCCGCGCGCCATGCCGCGCCGCGTCTCACCACACTGCGCCGCGCGGCATGCACATCGTCGATCGCTTTCTAACCCCGAAATGTAATGCCACGTAGACGTGCACGGCTGCCGGCCGGCCGGCCGGTCGGCTTCTGTCGCTATGCGACACTTTGTATCGTCATCAACGAACATTGTCACGTTCCGGCGGTAGATCCTCGCCGTCGCGAAAGTCCCTGGAACGATGACGAGCCGTTTGGTGGACGGCGGACATGTTCCGCTCCGTTCCTCGAAGCCTCGAAGATACGCGACGACGAATCGATCGGATCATTTATAGAGCGCACGCGAATAAACGCGTGTCCTTGTCGCACTCGTCGTAGAATGACCGACGATAAGAGATAGCGACGAGAGTATTCTTCTTGGCACATGGGGGCCATGGGGCGTTAGTCGCGCTCGCTCACCGGTTCGAGGATCGATTCTGTACCGAGCGCGTCGAAAAGGGTGTGGCGTGTAGCGACGGTGCGGCGGTGGCCGATGTTTTCGCGCGAGAATTCGCGCTACGTTTTTTCAGCGAGAGTAGGATCGAAAATCGGTGATAATTTCGGCATATGCGTTCTCCGACGCCTGTACTTATGCCGCGGAGCACGAAGGAAACGACGTCTACTCCTCTTTCCCCGTCGTCGATCGGGAGGCACAAGGGTCGCGCCCACGTGTCTGCGGCGCCCAAAATTGGAGTTACGAAACTCTTTCGGCGCTTCCGTTCATCTGGCTTGTTTCTCGAAGAGAAACCGCGCGACGGTTTTTCGACAACGACTAAGTACGACGACGCTTAACATGGCCGCCTTCAAACAACTCGCTGGACACGCGTCGCGTTGTCGCGCCGCGATGTAGAAATGGTGGTCCATTTCGTTAACAATCACCGATGGTTTTTAACAAATGGTTGCACACGATCTTATCCGGAGTCTGGAGTATCAAGTCGACAGTAGATCTTGGGCGAGAACGCGGCTTCCTCTCGCCCCGAGGAGTTCTCGATAGATGGATGAACAGAATTTTTAGGTTAACCTAGCGATAGTCACGTAGGCACGAGAGAGGTGACTGCGTGATTTAGCCGGTGCGCCGGATATACACACGCACACACGCACACAGGATATTTCAATCTGAATATTTAACGCTATTAAAGGCTTTGCGACATCGATATTATTGATATCGTTTATCTTCAAGATGAGATTGCTTGTTTGTTCCTAAAGTCTACTCATTCTTCGAGTCAATGTTTCAGTTAAGCGCTAATTATAGCTTAATCGCTCGTTTTCGTCCGCGGACGTATATTTCATTTTGCGCTGTGCTCTTTTACAGATTGTTCTTGTTTTTAATGACATAAAAGAAACTTGATAAATATTTATTATTAGTCTCTTAATCTGTTTTTTGATAAAAATGGAGTTTGCCCCCTTTTTTAAAAGAGGATATATATACGTTTCTCTCTCTCTCTCTCTCTCTCTCTCTCTCTCACATTCGACTTCATATTCGTGTTTTATTACAGATTGAAGTTTGGATTGCAATTTAGAAATAAATTGCTCCAAAGTTCCTATTAGTGAAATTTTTCTCGATTCCTTAAGCGGTCAATTAAGAACGAATTTTAATTGAAAACATAATCAGATATTCAACGTTTTAATTCGTTAATTTTTAACAACCAAGATACGAATTTTTCTTGAATCAATAAAGATTAATTAAACGTCTGAATGAATTTGTTAAATGCCAATATTTATGAGAAATAAATATCATGAAAATATATTTTAAATTTGTACTTTAATTCGATTTGAGACAGATGTTAAATTAATCATCATTTATTGACGATCAACTTATGATTGATCCGATCGATAGTTCAAGATGTTATATGGTTTGTGAATAGTTTAGATTAAATCATATAATTTCGACGCAACTCTCTTAGAAAACTCATCTCTACGTAAAACATATTTTTTAATAAGATGCAGTCATTATTTATAGAACTTGTGTCATCCTGCATTTTAAGTGATATTTCACTCGACTGCAAATCATTCGAGAATTTTTGTCCAAATAAATTTTATCAATTAAAATCGAAACTCTTGAATTTCTTCGGATAAATTCGGATAATTACGAGGATCTTTTTGCATCTTCAATAAAACCAGTAATATCAGTGATTATATACCGGAAAAAACATGACATTGCGTCATCTCCAATCAGACGTATGGCTTAAACGTGACACTTATCGCGTGAAAAGTATTTCTGCGCCATTACGTCGTTCAGGACTCTGCATATCATGAGATTTGTTCGTATTACTCGAAATCCCGAAAGATTTTTGCACTTAAAACAGGATAAATATAGATTTTGGATAAATATGAATTGGAGATAAATATATATTTGGGCGTTAGAGAGAGAGAGAGAGAGCAAAAATTCTGAATGCAAATAGTGCAAGCCACATGAAAAAATTTACAGGTCTCAGTAACGTGCATTTCTTATAGAAGTTCGCTCAGAGTTCTATTGTCGTCGTGTCTCGATGTTGCACAACGGTCGATTCTTTAAGACGAAAAAAAAGGAATTTTGATGGCTCGATGAATCTCGCAGTGAAAGCTGCAATCCTGAAAGGTGTGCCCTCCACGTTGCATTTTTGAAGCTTATCGCGAATTCTGTCGGTAAATCTATCATTAAGATGACCGTTATTTGCAAAAAATGCACTCCTAAAACCGTAATTCGAGAAGCGAAAATGTAACATTACGTACAATGACTGCAGCTTTTGGAGTGACCAATTAAAAATTTGTCCCGACGAACCTGTTCTCCACTGTCTATAATATTAACAGCTAATTAATTATTTCTTTTTAAAATTTGAGACAAATCCGATTGGCTACAAATATTGCATCTATGGAAATATTACGTCTCGAGGATATTCATTTGTCGGCAATTTTTTTAAACATGTTTATTGGCTACAAGATAGAGAATTTCTCGAAATTCGAGAAAATTTTTATTTTTGTATCCTAGCAATCAACATACTTGAAAAATTTGTTGTAAGTACGACAAATGAAATAGTATCTTAAGTCTATTCTTTGTAGCACTACTTTACACATTCTACTTGTAAAATAAAATAAATATATGATCAGACATTGGAGAGAAAAGGATGAACGGTAGAAAAATTTCAACTACAAAGAATAAATTTAATGTTTTATTACATTATATTTGAAACTTTGCTTCTCGCAAGTCGGTTTTTCGATGAAATATTCGAATTTAATGCTATCAATGTTACGGGCATATCAGAAATAACTCTTATCAGAAATAATCTTTCATGATGACAGCGAAAATGTATAAGTGATGTCTTTGAATATTGAATGAATAGGATATTAAAAAGAAAGAATTAAGAAAATCTTAGCGAAATTCTTGTGTAAATTTATAGAAGCTGGAGAGAATAGATAAGAGAATCTTCCATTCTATGTAACTATTATTGATTTAAAAAGCTTGTACATATATGATTTTTAACTATGATAATTAAGAGAATTGATATTGGAAATGTTCTTCTCTTCTAAACAAATTTATGGATTTTAGATAGGGAAATTAAACTGATGAAAAGTTATACTTTTTTATATTTTTTAATGAAAAGTCTTTCTTAAAAATGTTAGAGATGTGATTTATTTTCTGATCTCGATTTTAGCAACAAGAAAAAACAGAAAAGGGCGATCGTTCAAACTTTAATATGATTATTTCGGATAATTCTATTTAGGAATATATGTTTTAGTGGCTTTAAATTAGGTTAGGGACGGTTAAGAATCGCTGCTTGAAACTTTCGTAAAGAGCAGAATTTTTGTCGATATTCACAGGAATGATTTTGTCAAATCTAACAATTGTAGATTTTTTTAAAGGAACAATTGTAGATTAGATTAGGATAGGTTAGGTTAGAACGCACATGACTGCACGAGAAGCCATTGCTGGACAAGATCAGAAAATAAAGGTCGCCAGTTGCAGCCGTGGCCTCGGCGGGCACGCTTTCTGGTCGCCAATACCAAAATGGCGACGCCGGCCGGCTGGCCGATAGACCGGCCGATCAGTCTGTCTTGGTCGGCCAGCAACCTCGCAGTACTGTGTCGCGAGCAGGGCCGTCGAGAGCAAGGCCCAATCTCGACATAATATTTCTTCGTCCATGCACGGACAAAAAAAATGGTAGAATAAATTAAAATTGTGTGATAATTCAAACAAAATAAGTAAAAAAAAAATTGTTTTAAAGCAACAAAATTAAAAGAGGCTAATTATCCTGATAAAACATATTATACGATAACGCGCGTGAAAATAATTGCATTTTGAAAGGACGTTTCTAGGCTCTGTTTTGTAGGATCGTCTGATTTGTTCAAAAAAATTTATTATACAACTTCGTAAACTTCCGTGTCTTAATTATTTTGTTCATTATTTCTCTTGAAATTTATCAATTTTTATATTAGAATTAAACAACCCAGATAGCACGCATGTCCAAAATCCAGACATAAG